AACTATTTCCCGAGCAATATGACAGACAGATGCAAGGCCATTTTTCTCCAAGCCATGAGGGACTGTTTGGAAGGAAAGGCCCCTCTTCCCCCTCCCCTATTCCCCTTGGCCTGGTTCTGCAGTTGGGCAGGGCAGGGCCTCTCATTGCCCCACCCCTCCAATTCTGTTCGCAGGGTACTGTAGCCTCCCCCTCCCCGAAGCCTTCCATTTGTCTGTCTATCCCACTGGGGACTACCACCCTCTCCCAGCCTCATGATACTGTACAGGGTTCATTTTTGTAGCGAAAGTAGTTTCTGTCCTAGCCGGCAACCGGAGTGGGCCTTTTTTTGATTTTCTTTTTTTTCCCTTTCTTTCTTTTTCTTTGTACATACTGTAAGGTTGGTTTGTAAATTATTCTACAGAGGCAAAAAAGGGAAAATAAACTTACCCTTCCCTAGCTGACCCAGTCAGGGGAAGGAAGGGTGGGGATCTCCCAGAGGGAGAGTCCCTATTCCTGCTGTATTATATAAACTGTACCATAGACCCCCAAAAGGGTGGGCTCAGCGCTGTTGTTTGATGGGGAGTCGGTTCATCTAGGGGGTGAGGGCTAGGCAGAGCCTGTCCCTCCCCCTGCCCCAGGGCTGGGTTCGACTGGCAACAGTTGAGATGGACCATCCCACCCCCAATCAGGGCTCCTCTCTCAATAGGGGGTGCACAGGACCCCCATGAGCTGCTCAAATATTGTCCACTTTGATGATCAATCAGTCGGTCCATTGATCGATAATCAATCCTTTGATCTTGTCTCCAATTAAACCGAGGCTTTCACTGATCTTCCTGGCTGATGTGGCTTTCTTTCCCACCTGGTTCTTGAGGTGCGCCTTTTCAGCACTGTCTGCCTGAAGCAGGAGGTGTGAGGGAAAGGGGGCTCTGACCCTATCCCTCCCCAAGTAGATAGAGCTTGAGGAAGTTGCAGGGAGCTTGGCAGAAAGCAGCTCCCAGGCATGGGCCAGGTCCTGGCACAGGGAATTCCAGGTTGACCCACCTACTCTGCCATCCATCACTAGCACGAGGGACTAGTTTGGATCCCAGCTCTAGCTATGTGCCCTTGGGTGTGATCTCTCTGACCTTCAGTTGTATCATCTGTAAAACAGGATAAAAATCTCAGATTTATGGGGTCAATCTTGAGCAGAGCTGTCCAGTGAAACTTTCTATGATGATAGGAATGTTCTTTGTCTGCACTATCAACGCAGTGGCCACTAGCCACATGTGGCTTATAAGCACTTGAAATATGACTAGTGCAACTGAGGAAGTGGAGTTTTCATTTTTCTTTACATTAAGTAGCCAAATGTAGCCAATGGCTACTGTATCAGACTGCAGAGTTCTGGAACTTAAGTGAGAGAGGAAATGTAGAGGATTTAGAGCATACAGAGGTTTGCCTGCTTGAATGTGGTTTAAAGATTCACAGTAGATATCCTGGCCCAGAGGAGTGTAGATAGCCTGGACCCAGAGAGGAGAAGCAAAGCTGGAAAACTAGCTAGAAGTTTCCAGGGAATCTGAACTTTGTGCAAGAAGCAGAGAGGAGATACAGCTATTTCCCCAAGGGTGTTTCAAAGGGAGTCAGAGTCGGGGAAAGGGTATCAGGGTGGGGGTCAGGAGGCAATAGTACCCCAGGCTGCAGGGGATGGCCAGGTAGGCCTGGGTTAGCCTTCTTACTTTGGCCCTCAATTTCCCTGAGTGTAAAAGGGCAGGCGTGTTGTCCCAGATGTTTCCTGTGTTGGGACAAAGTTGACAGGCTGAGAATGTGGGTCAAAGGGCAGAGGTGTCATGTAATTATTGGCTCTTTAAAATTCTCCTGATGGCGCCCCGGCCAGGCGGGGCTCAGCGGTTGAGCACTGACCCAGGATCCAGGAGATTGCAGTTCGATTCCCAGTCAGGGTACTTGCCCAGGTTGCTGGCTCAATCCCCAGTTGGGGGTGTGCAGGAGGCAGCCGATCAATGACTCTCTCCCATCGTTAATGTTTCTCTCTCTCTCTCCCTCTCCCTGAAATCAATAAAGATATATTAAAAAAAAAAAAAAAAAATCCTCCTAATGGAGAGTTCATCTTTCCTCAGGCAAAGGTGACCAAGAGCAGGGAGGCCTTGTAATCTGAACAGGAGTGGGGAAACTGGGGAAGGGGTGGAGCCAATTTATTCTCTGAAATTGACATCAACCACTTGCAGGCTACAGAGTCAGGCAAAGGGCTGTGCCTCTCCCTCTCCCAGCCTTCCCAGGGCTCTGATCTCATCAGGAGGATTATTTTAATCACTCTCCAGCAGTCCTTGAGAGTACTATCATAGGTCTATTTTGCAGATGAGGAAACTGAGGCCAAGAAGTAATCTCACAGTTGGGAAAATTCAGGGAAATAAGGCTGGGATCTCACTTTACCCAGTGCCTGTTCCACAATGATAGCTCCCCAATACTTTTATATTATTACTGCTATTTTATTTCACATGCACAAAATCTTGAGATGTGGCTAATATTTTCCCCTCTTTCGTAGCATAAAAATATAAGTAAGTACAAATGAAGAGCACTTTTTTTCCTTTTTTACCTATTGGCAAATAATATATAAACCATTCTGGGGTGGGTAAAGCACTTTCATAGCTTATTAGTGCTAACAGAAGTTGGTACACAGAACTTTCTAGGAGGGGTCTGTCAATATTTATCAAAAACGTAACAACTGTGCATGCATTTTGACCTAGCCATTGCAGTTTTAAAAGTACTTATCCTAAAGAAACAGTTGTATGAAAACCATAAGATGCAGGTACAAAATGCCCATTCCAGTGTTGGTCAGAATATTGAAGAATTATTAAAGACCCAGATGTCCAACGCAGGGAGTCATTAAATTATGCTTTGCCTGAACAATGGAATAATATGCAGCCATTAAAAACAAAGTGAGTGTACATTGAAATGACAAGACGTTTACTGTGAGAAGGGCAGGTTTCAAAACGTTCTGCATTATACGATCCTACTGAAAAATATGTGCATAGAAAAGGCAGCTTGTCCATCAAAATACTAACAGTTCACCAGTGGTAGGATTAAAAGAGATCTGTGTTTTCTGTTCTGCAGTCTTTAATATTTCCTGAATTTTAGCAGTGAGCATGTATTACTTTTATAATCAAGGGGAAAGTTATTTCATAATCAAAAGAAATAGAAGTCGGTCGTTGTTGTCTGAGAACCA